GGCCTTGGGGGGGGGCTGCTGGCAGCATGGCCCTCTCCTCCCACTCCTGCCACCTCTTGGAGGGTGCTTCCCCGCACCCTCAATAAATCAAAGCTGTCTCTCCCGGCCCGGGCCTCACTCCATTTGTCACCCAGAACTCAGTGACCAGAGCCGCACCCTCCCAGCGCCTCCACGTTGGTGCCAAGAGAATTTCTGCACAGGCAGACTCACACGGTCATGTGTACGTGTATGGTGTGCCCACCCTGCCTGGAAAAGCTTTTTAATCCCGGACCTGGTGGCCTGCTTTCTCGTTCTCTCTGTGGTTCTCTCAAATTAATATGAAATGAATGAGTGAATAAATAAATGTCCTTTAAAGAGAATTATTTTATTTAACTTTATTCATTCATTCATTTTAATTTGAACAGAGAGAGGAAGTGAGCGCGCAAACTGCTAGGTCCAGAACTTGAACCGTGGTCAGCTATGTGGGAGTGACCAGTGCCTCAACCACCACACCACCTGCTGGTCCCCCTGCCTGAAGTCTGACTTCAGGGCCAGCCAGGTAGAGTGGTGGTTAAGGTGGCTGGGTTCCACATGGCTGACTGGTTTGAGTCCTGGACCCAGCGGTTTGAAACACACACTGGGCATGTAAGTGTGTGCTCCAAATCCTGAGGAGGGACTGAGCGTGGCCACTCCCCGAGGTGTCTCTCTCTCCCCCTCTCCATTGGTCTCTGGTGAGATATGCCTCTAGTGGAAAAAGGCAGAAAGCACCTTCCTCCTGCCAGACTGGTGGCCACAGGTGCACCCTGGAGCGGGCCTGCAGGCTGGTCACTGGGCACGCAGGGTGAGGGGCCTGGCCCGCCTGACGCTGTGCTGAAGGAGAAAGGGCCTCTCCTGTCTAGCCACTAGCCTCAGGCCATGCCAGGGGAGGTGTAGGCCTCTCTCCAGCCATGCCGCCCCGGGCTGAGAGGGACTGTCTGGAAGCCCTGCCCAGGAGGTCGGGTACTCCATGCACAGGGCCCGACTGGGCCACGTCCCCACCCTGCCCACCACCCAGTGGCTCTTGTGCTTAGTGCATTGGCGCCCAGGACAAGGGTTACAAGGGCTCTGAGCACACGTGGCAGAGCATGTGTGGGTGCAAGAGGCTCCCCAGGAGAAGCCAGATGGGGAAAGGGACGAAGGCCCAGCCCCTCGACCCACGGTGCCTGGTCTGCAGGCAGAGCTGCTCTGAGCGCCTCCCCTTATGCTGGGCTGGGCTTCAAAGCGCTGAGAGCGTGTGGAAATCATTAGACCGGGCAGTGGGCTGGGGGCCTGTGCGGGGCTGGTCCGCCTGGCTCCATGGCTTAGCGTTCTCACCGCTGTCTCCAGCAGGGTCACTGGTGATGCCAGCTGGGGAGAAGTGAGGCTGCCAGCCCCGGAGTCTGGGCTGTCTGGGCCCACCCGGAGAAGACACCTGTGCCCTTACTGGAAACCAGTCACAATGGCAGGGCCTGGGCACTCCACGCCGCACAGCAGGGACAGGGTCTGCAGACATTTTCTGGGGGAAAGGATGCATGACAGGAGGTTCTCAAGAGAAGTCTGCCTTTATTCATGCTCGAGCGGGTGGGTCCCACGGAGGCAGAGCGGGCACCTCTGCAGGCAGCTCTCACCTCTTGCCAGCTGCAGAGTAAACGTATCAGGGTGGTGTGGGCCCTGACCCCTGCTCCACCCCACCTGGCCTGGCTGCCTGCCTGCTACAGGTACCTGGCAGCTTCAGCCACTTGGGCACCTTGCCAAAGCTCCTCCTCACAGGCTGGGCTGTCCCCATGGTGGGCTCGGGGGCGCCCAGTGCCCCCTCCTCGGCCACAGGCTCACACTCCAAGGGCGCAGGGTCAGGGACTGGCAGCAGAGGTGGGGACCCAGCTGCTCTGGGCATGCACCTGCGGTGAGAGGTCAGACACCGGGTGGGAGGTGGGCCCGCCAGGGGGCCACCCGGCCCAGCCGGCACTTACCTGGCCACCAGCACATCGGCCGCGGATGGGGAGATGGCGCTCTGCAGCAGCCCGGGCTCCAAGGAGAGACCTGCAGGGGCCCAGCCCACCTCAGCCACGGGACCCCGCACCCACCACCCACCTGCCCACCCTGGCCCTGCAGAGTGCCCAGGCAGGCCCCTGATGACACCCTGACAGGGCTGCACTCAGGCCCGGGGTGGGCAATGGTCAGTAGTAAGGCACACCCACCGGCTGGCTCCTCGGCTCCGAGGTGCACAAGGGCGGCAGGGAAGAGCTGCGCCTGTGGAGGGGAGGGGTGCAGGTCTCAGGGTGGGGGCACCTGCTTCCCCCACTCCACCACCACTGCCCCACACCAGCTTCCCCGCCCACCCTGGTACCATGCCCACAGCCAGGCCAGACACCCCAGGGGCAGCCCAGGTGCAGCTGGCCACAACCTCTCCGGCCCTCTCCGGCCCACCTCCCTGTTAGACCAAGCTATGTGGCCGCAGGCCAGGGATGCAGAGCTGGTGGATGGACAGGCATCTGAACGGGCGCCCTGCGAACACCCGAGGCCGTCTCCATGGCCACTTCTCTTGGTTCACGCTTCCTGCCTCCCCTTCGTGCCTACCAGGGACCCCCTGCCCTGGCTTGTCTCTGGCGCCCTGATCATGCCAGGCGTGGGGACAGAGAAGCCCACTGCCCTACAGGGAAGAGGACCCTCTCTCACTCAGCAGCCCGCCCTGCCACACTACCCCATTCCTGCAACCGAGTACCCCGTCAGCACTGACCGCCCAGCCAGGTGTTTCAAGCTGTCCCTCCACCCACAGAGCGCAAAGCAGGGGCATGGCCTCTTCAGGACTTCGAGGCAGGCACAGGGCCCTCCCCAGGCTGGGCCCTGGTGGACTAGCCCGTGCTCGGAGGGCTGGGCTTCAAGGCCTTTTGGGGGTGAGGCCAGGCCGGGCTGACGGGCCGCAAGGACCCTCAAGCCCTGGGGGGCACCAGCACCAAGCAGGACACTGGACGGGCCTGTCCCCAGAACGCACCCTTCAGGCCACAGCTACACAGGCCCCCCACACTCTCGTCCCTCCCTGGAGCAGGGCCCCGCAGCCCCTCCCACCCAGGAAGCAGCAACCAGAGGGGCCCTGCGCCCCCGGGAGGCAGGCTTCTCTCCTCTCCCGCAGCCCTGCCAGCTCTCTGGTCAAGGTGGCTGGGGATGCCACCCAAGGCCTCAAGGCTGGAAGCCGAGCTCACAGGGAAGGGACTGCTGCTGGTGGCAGAGGGCATGGGCAGGCAGAGGCACCCTGGCTCGGTGGGACCCTCGCACTGGCTGGCCTGGTCCTCACAGCCCACACACCTTCCAAACGTGAGGTTCCACCTGAGGTTCCACCGCTGCCCTGTGCCCGGCTCCAGGGCCCTCTTTCCCAACCATCCCTGGGGAGCCTCCAGCCCCCCACCCACCCCTCTCAGAGGTGGCTGCCCCAGGCAGTGCTGGTCACCCCAGCCCAGACCTCAGAGCCCTGCTGGCCACTTAAAGGGGCCTGTTGTTAATTAAAATAGCTGAAAAGGCTTTGAAGAGGAAACCATTAGGCCAGGGGGGCTGGGGCAGACTGCCTTCCCGGGAGGCAAAAGAGCAGAACTCTGCCCCTCCCAGCCCTGGAAGGCTCCCCAGAGCCAGGTCAGGTGTCAGGTGTGCCCGCCAGGGAGTCCTCAGTGAGGAAGGAAACGCCAGGCCTGGGGGACAGGGAGATGAGAGGCCTGGAGGTGGCGGCGGGGCACCCAGAGAGCTGCCTCCAGCCAGGCCTCTGTCCAAGGAGCTCCCAGCTTGTACCCCAGGCCGGCATCCCCTCCCAGAGCAGCCCGCGGTGCCCTACTCAGGACGTCAGGCCTGCTGGCCGATGCCCATCCCCACCCGCGGCCAGGCAGGAGGTGGAGGCCGCAGTGGGTTCTGTTGGAGACCACCTTAGAGGCGCTGCACTCCCAATTCTCCACCTCCAAGAGACCTCGCTAAATGCCAGCACAGGCTCCAGGCCCGGCCACCCACCTTCCCCACCCAGCAGCCCCTGTGTAGTTGGGTACCTGGAAGAGTGTCAGCGTGGGGTCGTCCAGCACTGTTCTCGGAGGTGTGACGACTGCGGGGGGACAGGGTGGTGTTGGCAGGTGGCACTCACAGTCCCCAGATGGCAGAAGGCCTGGATGCTGGACCACGCAGATCATAGCCCACTCTCCTCTACTCCTGCTGCCTTGCCCAGTGAAGGGTTCAGAGGGGGTGGCCTGGGCACGGCCCACTGCCCTCAAAACCACTCACTCCCCCAATGCCTCCCTCCCTGCAGCTCTGGGCCACAAGGCTGGGACCAGGGTGGGAGCAGTGGGGGTCCTGGTGGGGAGCAGGGGCCCTGGGTACAGCGGGACCATCCTAAACACATGCTGCAATCCAGGGTCCACTCTGACAGCCTGAGAGCAGTCGCCTCTGGGAGGTTAATGGAGGCTGGCTGGCTGCCGGGCATGGGTGCCCCCATGGCATCAGCAGAGGGCAGCCCACTGGCAGTCTCCCGTCATGCAATGCTCTCTGCCCTCCCCAGATGCCGGCCTGGGCACAGGCCACCTGGCCTCATGAGCCAGACAACACACTGCCCCTCTGAGCCGCCTGTCATGTGGTCACAGCAGCAGCAAATGGCCGGACACCCCCGTCCACCTTGGGACAAGCCACTCCACATAAGCCCCAGTCCTCAAGGACAGGGTGGATCGGCTGCAGCCCCAGCTCCCAGCCGCAGTGGTAGGGAGCCAGCTACGGCCACATGCTTGGGAGGAGAGCCCTCCTGGGGCAGACCCCGTAGGTCCCATGAACTGGCAGCAGCTCAGGTCAACTCACACAGATGGAACGGCAGCTTGGGGTTCTCCAGGTGGCTCCTCACGAAGTCCCGCAAGTCCCCCACTGCAGAGGAGGGGGGATGAGGCTTGCCCGCTGCATGCCAGGTACCCGTGTCATGGGTGCAAGAACCAGCCACCAGCTGGGAGTTCAGCCCTGCCCCTTCTATGGCACCCAGATACCCACTGCTGGGACCCCACCCCTGCAGAAGAGGCCGGCCCACCACCCACCATGCCAGCCTGAGCTGGCCCTGGGGAGGCCTGTCTGCTACCCCTACCATTGGATATGAGGGCCCGGCCCAGCCTCCCTCACCTGTCCCACCCACCTGTGCCCAGCAGCACGAGGGTCACAGCTCCTGGGCAGGCCTGATGCCAGAGAGGCTGGCCTGCCCTGCGCTGGCCTCCCCGACACCCGCGAACTTGGGCCCTCCATGCGACCCACACGCTAGGTAGCAAGAGATGGAACCCAGAGGGGCCCAGTGGGAACCCCAGTCCCGGGTGCCCCGCGGGGTCACTCACCTGTCTCACTGGGGCGGAAGAAGCCCTGCAAGATGTAGCGGTTGGGGAACAGCACCCGTAGAACCACCTGGGCCGGGACACACAGAGTGGTGGGCAGGGCCGTGGAGAGGCTGCCAGCCCTGGCCTGCAGGACTGGGGCAAGCCGCCCCCCTCCCGGTTCCTGCCAGAGTGGACTCCCTGCCCCACAGCTGGTGACGGGGCGCTGCCCACACACAGCAGCCCACAGGCTAAAACACGCTGGCCCGTTTCCGGGTCTATTTAAAATGTCCATCACAGGGCCAGCAGGTGACATAGGGTTATGGCGCTAGACTCCCACGTGGCTGGCTGCCAGTTCAGGTCCCGGACCTGGTGGGTTAAAACTCATGCCAGGTGTGTTTGCGCACCCGAGAGAATGGAAGAAAACTGTGGCATGGCCTTCCCTCGGGGCTGATTTCTCACTTTCCCTCTCTCCGGTAGGCACACATGCCCTATAGTGAAAATCTCTCAGAAAAAGAAAAAAGAAAAGAATTCTCATCACAGGCCAATCTGAGACCTGGCAGTCAGAGGAGCCACATCCCACGTGGCTGGCCTCACCAGCGTGTGTGCGCTCCAAGTGCCGCAGCGTGCACCCGGGGGCCTTCTCCCTCTCCTCCCTCCTCTCCGAGGGACACGCACACCCTGGCCAACTTAAAAACTGCTTGTCGTGACACAAGGGTCAAGGGGCACAGGTTAATGAGTGAGCCCCGACTGCCACCAGCAAGTGCAGGGGCCACACCACGGCTGCTGGGGGCCACGGCAGCCAGCCATGTGGGTCCCATCACGCGGCCACAGGAGCCCCCCAGCCCTGTGCACCTTCGGGTAGCGCTCCAGCTTCTCCTTCATCTGGGCCTCGCGGAAGGCCCTGGTCACCAGGGGGGCTTCTTCCAGGCGCTTCCTGGGGGACGGAGGCAGAAGGTCCAGGTCTGTGTGGGTGGACCCCTGACTGCCTGACTGTCTCACTTGCAGCCGGGGCTCGGTGGACTGCCTTCCCCCCGCAGGCCAGGAGGGCACCAGGACGGCCACATCCAGACCCCCTGAAGGTGTGGGGGCCAGGAACCTGGCTGCCGGCTGCACCCCGAGAGGGCGGGCACCCACCGCTCACTCTTGAGTTGGGCCAGGCGTCTCCTCACATCGTCCACAGTCACCTCGAAGAACTCGTCGGGCAGCTGTGCTGGCCAGGCCTGGAGCGGCACCTCCAGGTCAGGGTGGTACACCACAGGGTCTCGGTCTATGGGCTGTGGGCAGAGGCCTCGGCTGATGGCGGGGCCTGGGTGGCTCTGAGCCCCTCGGGATGTCCCCCAGGCTGTCGGTCCACACCCTCCCCAGCCCCACCCACTGTGTCTGGGACAGCAAGCCTGACACCGAGCCTGCTCCCCTCCCAGTGAGACAGGGCCCAAGGCCGGCTCCAGTCAGGCGGGGTGCTGGTGCTGCCCGGGAACTCAGGGTGGCTAAGTGGCAGCCGGGCAGCTCCCGTCACACCCTCCGCCTCTGTGGGGGTGCGTGCAACACGTCACGGCATTGGCAAAAGCCCCTGCTGCCCCCACTGCCCTCTGGGCCGCACCCCGCCCTCTGCCCACCCTGGAGACACGGGAAGGGCTGGCACCCTGACTGGCATCAGCAGTAGCAGAAATTACAAGGCAGGGCCCACTCTGCTGGTGGCGGGCGGTAATTTCAGCGAGTTCAGTCGGAGTGGGGGTGGAAGACCCGTGGGGGCCAGCCTGACCAACCGTGGAGTGGTCAGGAGGGGTGGTGGCCCCAGGGGGCTGCCTCTGTCACCGCCGGCCTTCCCTCCACCTCCTGCTCTTCAACACCTGAGGAGCGTGGCAGGCTGGAGGGTGGCCTTCCAGGCAGCCCGCCCAAGCCAGAACCCCTCCTCGGGATGTCCCTGCCCTGCCCAGCACCCCCACACCAGGAGATGGCCACAGGAGATGGCCAGGCAACACCTGCCTGACACACACCTGTCCCAGTCACCCGAGGCCCCACCTGTCTGTGGGGCATGGGTCCCTGCAGGCCACCGAGTGGTGGTCTGGCCAGGGGGCTCCTCTGACCTGGAGCCTACCATGGCAGAGGGACCCAGATGGCTGGCTGAGGCCAAAGCAGCTCATAGAGGCTGCCCCTTCAAAACCACAACCTCCCTGTGACCACCGAGGGCTCTCGCACCAAGATGCTGGGCGCCACACTGCCCACGGCCGCAGCACCGCATTCCAGAGGCCCCCAGGGCAGGGTGGGGCGGGGCAGGCTACGGGCACTGAGCCCAGAGCTGCTGTGTCCGCGAATGGCCAGGCCGGGCCTGGTGGTGGTGAGACGTGGCCTGGGGCACTCGGGCGCCAGGCCCGGAGCTGAGGAGCAGACGGGGCAGCCAGGCCTGGCACACGGGCCACCCCGAGTCCAAATCCCAGTGGGAAGGTGACATAGTACATAGTTTGCCTGTCCCCAGGACACAGCCCTGGGCAGCACGCAGGCCAGCCAAAGCCTGCCCCAAGGAGCCCTGGGTGGCAGGCATGTGGCTTGGGCTATACCAGTGCCCTGAGGCATGGCCCACCTGGCTGCTTCCAGGATAAGGAGGCAGGCGGAGTGCCAGGGCCACTCCATTTTAGTGAAGTAAAACCGAGGACACACCGTGGCTCCAGGGCCACCCTAGGTTCCTGGCCTTCAACGACGTCTCTGTCTCTGTTCTATTCAGGGGCCTCTGTCCACCAAGCAGACACTGAGCATGCAGGGTCCGCAGGGCCAAGCAGTGGGCAGCGTCCCCACTGGGTTGAGGGCCAGGAAGGCCAGGCAGAGCAGCAGGGCTGGGTAGGAGGGTGCTCAGGACTGAAGCTGGCCCCCTTGAGGACATGCCTTCTGGGAGGGCAGTCGGTCCCTCGGCCCTCGGAGAGAAGCAGCACTGACTGGTGAGGGTGGGACCTGTGTCCGGGCCTTGCAGGGCCCCAAGTAAGCCGACACCGGGATCGCCCGGCCCTGTGACGGGGCACTCTGCCCTGCATTCTGGGCCCCATGTGCAGGCCCCGGGCGCCGTGGTGATGTATCAGCCCCTGCCTGAGCTGTGCTTGCCGAGGCTCAGCATGGAGAACCAGAAAACGAGGCTGACGGCGACAGCCATCGGGCGGCCAGCCCCTGCCAGCGGAGCAAGGTTGTGTGCACACTGCACCCGGGGTCGGGGGAAGCCTGGAGAGGGCCCCCAGCGCGACCTGGCGCCCTGAGCCTCCTGGCAGCTGCCCGGGAGGAAAGTGCCCACCCTGCGGGAAGACACTGCAAGGGAGCCCCCGGCACCCACACCCACCCTGCTCCTCCCGAGTTCTTCCTGGGAGATGTCAACTCCAAGGAGGCACTATGGGTGTGACACAGGACCCGGGCCACAGCGTTCTACCTGCTGGCTCTCCCAGGAGCAGCATGAACCCGCACACACGCCCGCCTCCTGCGGCGCCTGAGGAAAGGCTATGGGCCTCGTCCCCAAGAGCCCCGTGCTGCCCAGGGCAAGACTGCTGTCCTCACACCCAGGGCTGCCCCAGCCCGCCCAGCCAGAGACCTCCTGGCTGTCTCCACGCTGGGCGGCTCCAGCCCCAGCTAGCCTGGCTCCTTCAGCCCTGGTGCTGAGGTTCAGGTGGAAGGTGTCGGGGGCAGGACCAGTAGGGGCCCATGTCCTGCACACGCCCCTCCCTGGAGAGGGTCCTGACGCAGAGCCACCAGGGAATGACGCCCTGGCCCAACCCAGAGCTGAGCGCCCTCCGCGGGCTCCGAGCCTCAGTGCGCCTCCCTGGGCACATGGCACAGCTGCCACCCTGGCCCAGTCAAGACCCAGGGGGCCCTTATCTCTAAGCACAGCCTTGGTGGCCAAGCTAAGGCAGAGCCTTCCAGAAGCCTGGTGGTGGCTCTCCTGTACTCTGGGCACCTGGCGTGGCCGCACGGGGGACCCAGCCCTGCCTCGAGGTGGCAGGCAGGGTGCCCGCCCAGCGGCTGAGTCAAAAGCCAGCCTAAGGCCACATGCTTCATGTCGAGGACTTGACATGACCTTAGGTCCAAGGGCCCCACCCCTACCCTGTGTCACCCTGCCCATCACACTCTCCGCAGCAGGCCAGGCCTGCCCCAGGAAAAGCCTTAATAACTTTACAGTTTGGGGACTGGTACCCTGTACAGGCCAGAGTCCAGACCCAACCTGCCAGGTGCCTGACTGGCCAGGCAGAGACTTCCAGACCTGAGTCTCATGGCAGGCCGGGG